AAATACGAGAGAGCAGGACGGTGCGGGGCCACGGGGGGGTACCCGGGGCCCAGGCATGCGCAGGACCCTCCTCGCCATCCCCTCCTGCCACACAGCAGGGGAAAAGCCAGGGCCAGAGATGACAGTAACTGTTCTTTTTTTTTTTCTTTTTTTTTTTTTTCTCTCAGTTGTTTTTGGTTGTTCTTTTGCTCAAAAAAGGCATTTTTTAAAAAATATATTAAACAGATACATTTTACTAAGATGTCTCTTGGCTGGAGCCACCAACGAGAAATGACCCTCCCCAAATAAATAGGCTTAAAAAAACCCCTCCCAAACAAAACAAATAAATAAATACATAAATAAAACATTTTTTTCCTTTTTCTTTTGTTTTAGGTTTCTCTCTTTTTTTCTTTTTTCTTTTTTTTTTGTAAGGAACTGCAGCCCAGAGGTCTCCACCGGTGTCTGTGATAGCAGCATCCACGGGGCAGGTCCTTGCCCGCACAAGGGGTGATGATGCCTTGGTACCACAGCACGCACGAGATGCTCCTGGAGAGGCCCCAGGAGAGATCTGCTGCATCTCAGGGGCCTATGGCATGGTCCCTCCCCACGCTGAGCGCAAAGGCACGGCCACAGGGAGGGTCGCGGGGGATGCAAAAGTGAAGGCGCCAGTAGAAACCTCTCTTAAAAAGACTACAAAAGTTGGGGCGCCGAGGAGACCGCCGCTGGAGGAACCTCGTGGTGGGTTGAGCATCTGCTCCAGCGGGGCCAGCAGCTGCCTCTGGCCAAGCTGCATCCCTCCTCGGCCATTGTCACATCTCCCCGGCCACCGGAGCTCAAGCAAAAGCCGTGCCACGGGGTGGCCATGCTGGCATCATCCCCGTGCTCAGAGCCAGTCCGCGCGACACGAGCCATCCCTCCTCCATAGTCCCGCTGGCGTCCTCCGTCCACTCGAGCCCTGCGTCTCTTTGGCCAGTTGCTGGGTGGAAGCGCACGGTTGGCACTAAGGTAAGGCCTTGATTTAGTATTTTTAGGGTGGTTACTCCTCTCCCTGCCCCCCACCTCCCCACAGAGTCCTTTCTCCTGGCCCCCTCGCTCCAAGACCTGAGCAGCCCCGGCTGTTAGCTGCACAGCTTGCCCGTCTCCTGCTCTACTGCATTGGGCAGCTTGGTGTTGAAGGCCCTCAAGGAGGACTGGATCCTCGCCACCTCGTTGTTGGCCAACTTGAGCCTGTGGCGGAGCAAGCAAGTGAAGAGGTCGAGGCGGGTTTTGCCAGGGGGTGACAACCTGTTCACCCGGTCCCTGATCTCCAACAGCTGGAGCATGGCCGTGTCCTGGGAGCCCTGGGTGTAGGGGTAGTCCAGCTGAAGGATCAGGTCACGAATAGCATCTGGTTCAAAGGGCAGGCTGTAGCCGAAGACTTGCAAGCTGTTGATTTTCATGTACCCCAGGTTCTTGGAGGGATCTGCCATCTCCAAGGGTTCGTAGTAGATTGTCTCGTTGGAGCTGTCATCCAGAGACTTGATGCGGCTCCGCAAGTAGACGTGGACCGTTTCAAAGAAGGTCTTCCACTTGTTGCCCAAGGTGAGCGTCCAGTTTTGGCACTGGGCAGAGGCATCTACGTTAGTCCTTTCCCAGTCTGGGAAGCTGCCCTCACTGACAGGCATGAACCAGCTCTCTGAGTGGCTTCCCCCGAAGGGGTTGACATAGATGGCCATGACGGGCTCCAGTGTGCTGTTCTTGGTGAGGCAGATCTGCAGGGAGAGGGCCAACATCACGTGAACCAGCCCGGGTTTGTACTTGTTGCTCTTCAGGGTCAAGAGCATGCGCTTCCTCCAGGAGGGGTCGAACCAGCTCCCCAGGCGCATGTCGTTGCTGATGAAGATGGAGTGCACCTCGATGCGGCTGTCCCGTTTCTGCAGGAGGTACTTGAGCTCCAAGTCCTGCAGGTCCGTCTCGAGCCCCAGGTAGTGCTCCAGCGAGTCAGCCACCTCCGGGCGGCAGAAGCCCTGGGCGAGCACGTAGCCGTGGTTGCAGGTGCCGCAGCGGGTGCCGTTGTCCTCAGCACAGCTGGCACAGGCTGGTCCCTCACCCAAGGCACACGGTATGGACCCCTGGCAGGAGGGCTGGTCGGAGGGGCACGTGCAGCTGTGGCTTTCTTCCAGGAAGGTCCCCGGCGTGGTGGTTTCACTGCAGTACAGGAGCGACTGTGCACGGCTCCACCAGTAAGGGAGGGACCTGGTGGAGAAGAGAAACGGGAGGAGAGATTCTTACGTGGCATCTTTTGGGGCATGACTGACTTTCCCCAGGGATGGAAGAGCTGCCCACCATCGTTTTTCTGCACCGCTGGTGGCACCCCCCATGAACCGTGCCCCGTTTTCCACCTCCAGCCTTGGACCCAACCTCTCAGGTCCACGTCCCAGGGTGGCACAGCTGCCCCTGCTGCCTGCTCACCCCCGGGCACCCCTCCAACAAGGAGGGAGCTCCTCCAGTC